AAACAATCAAACCTTCATATTTAATATTTTTTATATATATAAAACTCATCATAATATGTAGTAACAAACCACATAATTTTTCTATTATACATAAATAGCACAAAAATGGCTTTAACAAAGTAATTATGAAATATCCTTAAAACTATTACCAGTCACGTTACTGGAAAATATTTAAAGATATAGGAAAATGCTCACAATGTAATGTAAAATAAAAAAAGGCTAAAATCTACAGAGTATGACCCTAAGTTGTACATACACATAAAAATCAGATTCAAACTTACAAAAAGGAAGAAAGCATCAAAATGTTAGGCAACAGTTGTCCTACTGAAAAATGAAAGTAATATAAGGGGGCAAAGAAGAAAACAAACAAAAATCACACACAATCCCACCAATTACACATAATTCCACACATAATTACCAACCACTGCTAATAATTTGATATATGCTTCCAATCTTCTTTCTTCACATACATACATGTCGTTACTATTAAACTTCAGCTTTGGAATGCAAATTCCATAGTATTTGGAATCAGAGGCATTACTGACAGAACAGTAATTTTAAACTCAATTTTAAAATGAAAAAACATTGTATATGGCTGTGAAATAATGTAACTAGGAAAACAAAGGGAAGGATATTTGAAATCAAAATTGCACATGGAAATAAATGTTCTAATTATGTAAGATATTCTAAATTGAAGATATTGAGTCAACAGTAATTTATTTTAGTAAATTGAATTAATTCAGTAATGAACTATTGAGTTGATTTTTCAATGTGCAAATTAGAAAATCAATTAAAATCTTAAAATGACCTAATATAGCATTTCTCAGACTTCAATACACACTCAGTCACCTGAGCATCTTACTAAGATGCAAATTCTGAGTAAGAGTGAAGTCTGAGACTCTGTTTTCAATAAATCCATAGATGAACCATGTTCCTAGTTTGTCAACCACACTTTGAACAGCAAGGAGCTAATTTATCCAATCAGGATTTTAATTTCAAATCACCTGGGAGTTAGCAAGATCCATAATCAAGCATATGAACACTACAGTCAGCTGAAAAGACATCGGGAGGGTAATAATATAAAGCTGAGTAAAATATTCTTTCTTCTTTTAAAAAATATATGGATTCTTGATCATGCAATTGTAGATTGATGATACCAAAATTAAAACACACATACACACACACATATATGGATTCTGCATCCGTTGTTTTTCCGTAGTATTAGTGTCCCTATGTCTATCTACTTACCAACCAAAATATCTAAGAAATCCAATATATATTAAGTAAAACACAATACTGATGAATAGTACTGATAACATTTTGGTATGCTTTTCCTTTTTTTTTTTAAAGAAAGTTTCAAATCTAATCTGTAGTGACAAAAAAACTGGATCAGTAGTTATCTAAGGCTGGATGGAACTGGATTAGTTGCAAAGGAATATGAGGGAATTTTTTTGGGGTGATAAAAATTATGTTGATTATGCCAGTGGTTACCCAGATATATACACATTTGTCAAACTCATGAAACTCTCCACCTAAAATGGGTACATTTTAATGTATATAAATTGTACCCCTATAAAGTATATTTAAAAAAGGCATGAGGGTTAATACAAAAAGAAATCTAGAAGGATACATATCAAATTGGTAACAGTAGATATACATCTGAGAGTAGAATTCTGGAGGGAATTTCCATTTTCTAAAATTCTGTACTGCTCAAGTTTATTTATGATTAATAAATATTAGTCTTAAAATACAAATAAATCACAGTAACAAAGCAAAAACTAGTCCCATTTCTTTTGCATTATAAATCATGTCCTGTCATTTTGGTATGTAGTTAGGTAATGTAATGAGGGGACAATGAGGCAAAAATAGATATATGTTCTGAAGTATTGCAGGTGTGATGCAGTTTAGTGGGGAAGGTAAGAGACAGATTTGAAATGCATTACTCCATACAACTGACATGATTACATACCTTACTGATTACATGGAACTGATGTGAGGGGTAAGAGCAAGAGAAGAATCAAGGCTAACTTAACATTTCTAGTTGAGCAGCCAGATTGATAGTATGCCATTTACTGAGATGGGAAAACTAAGTAAGAAGAAACTTCGGAGGGAAAAAATGTTTTTAAGTTTTACTGTGAACAAGTTAAGTCTGAGAAGCATATCAAAATTCCACGTAATGTCAAGTGGGTAGGTGGGACACAAATCTGGAGACACAAGGAGTGGGTAGGGCTGGTGTTAATTAATTTAGAAGTCAGACACAGATGTATTTAAAACCATGGGACTTGATGAGATATTCCATTGTAGTTTATCAAACTGCATTTTTTGAGCTGTAAGTCATGAAATAAACAAGAGTTACAAACAGCACTTAAAAATAAAATCAAAGGGTAAATACTGTCTATGAGTCTTATACTCCAGGTATATTCGCAGATATGTACAGAAAAGCAATGTAGAATGTATTTCTTACTAGGATGGAGTCCTAGAGCACTGTGGCTAATACGTCGGCATAGGCAGAGCAGCCAGCAGAAGAGCTGAAGGAGCTTTCAGTGAGGAAAAAAATCAGAAGAGTGACATCACAGAAGCCAAGAGAAGAAAATATTCCAGTGGGATTATAAAAAAAGCAAGTATAAAAGAATCATCAGTAACCTTGATTAACCAGCCTTGGCATCATGGTGGGGACTGAAGACAGAATACTTGTGAGGAAAAGGAAGCAATGACTTTTTAAAAGTCATATTCAAAGTGTTTTGGTCCTTCACAATAGGAGCTACTTTGTCTTTTGAGGCATTTAATCTCTGACAATTCTTGTAAGATATAAACATGGAAGCAATTAACCAAACTCTACCTTGGAATTCTTTCTGTAATATAGTTTATCTATAAATAAAATATTTTCATTTTTATTGCTATTAGCAAATAAAATTCTGTACATTCAAAGTTACACTGATTCAAATGCTTAAATAAATGAAAAAAAGGAGGTATATAACCCAAAACAAAGTAAGAGAAAAGGACTCAGTAATTAATTTTCATTTCACTTCAGGTCACAGTAAAATTATAGAACAATAGAGGAAATCTACCTCTATGATAAACAATGAGAAGCTGTTCTCCATGTCCTGCCATTGACACGACAGGCCCAGGAAGACTGAAGATCTCTTTCTGAACACCTCCAATAGTGAACAATCGAAGGAGCAAGGCACCAGTGGCAGCAGCCGCCCATCCCTGACCAAGACACAGTGCTTCAATATCTTCATTCTCAGGCATGTCTACCATCCACTCTTTGCTTGAATCCCAAGAACTAAAGTGCAGGCAGTGAAGCCTGCTAAAGATTAAAACAAGATAAACAATCAAACCTTCATATTTAATATTTTTTATATATATAAAACTCATCATAATATGTAGTAACAAACCACATAATTTTTCTATTATACATAAATAGCACAAAAATGGCTTTAACAAAGTAATTATGAAAAATCCTTAAAACTATTACCAGTCACGTTACTGGAAAATATTTAAAGATATAGGAAAATGCTCACAATGTAATGTAAAATAAAAAAAGGCTAAAATCTACAGAGTATGACCCTAAGTTGTACATACACATAAAAATCAGATTCAAACTTACAAAAAGGAAGAAAGCATCAAAATGTTAGGCAACAGTTGTCCTACTGAAAAATGAAAGTAATATAAGGGGGCAAAGAAGAAAACAAACAAAAATCACACACAATCCCACCAATTACACATAATTCCACACATAATTACCAACCACTGCTAATAATTTGATATATGCTTCCAATCTTCTTTCTTCACATACATACATGTCGTTACTATTAAACTTCAGCTTTGGAATGCAAATTCCATAGTATTTGGAATCAGAGGCATTACTGACAGAACAGTAATTTTAAACTCAATTTTAAAATGAAAAAACATTGTATATGGCTGTGAAATAATGTAACTAGGAAAACAAAGGGAAGGATATTTGAAATCAAAATTGCACATGGAAATAAATGTTCTAATTATGTAAGATATTCTAAATTGAAGATATTGAGTCAACAGTAATTTATTTTAGTAAATTGAATTAATTCAGTAATGAACTATTGAGTTGATTTTTCAATGTGCAAATTAGAAAATCAATTAAAATCTTAAAATGACCTAATATAGCATTTCTCAGACTTCAATACACACTCAGTCACCTGAGCATCTTACTAAGATGCAAATTCTGAGTAAGAGTGAAGTCTGAGACTCTGTTTTCAATAAATCCATAGATGAACCATGTTCCTAGTTTGTCAACCACACTTTGAACAGCAAGGAGCTAATTTATCCAATCAGGATTTTAATTTCAAATCACCTGGGAGTTAGCAAGATCCATAATCAAGCATATGAACACTACAGTCAGCTGAAAAGACATCGGGAGGGTAATAATATAAAGCTGAGTAAAATATTCTTTCTTCTTTTAAAAAATATATGGATTCTTGATCATGCAATTGTAGATTGATGATACCAAAATTAAAACACACATACACACACACATATATGGATTCTGCATCCGTTGTTTTTCCGTAGTATTAGTGTCCCTATGTCTATCTACTTACCAACCAAAATATCTAAGAAATCCAATATATATTAAGTAAAACACAATACTGATGAATAGTACTGATAACATTTTGGTATGCTTTTCCTTTTTTTTTTTTAAAGAAAGTTTCAAATCTAATCTGTAGTGACAAAAAAACTGGATCAGTAGTTATCTAAGGCTGGATGGAACTGGATTAGTTGCAAAGGAATATGAGGGAATTTTTTTGGGGTGATAAAAATTATGTTGATTATGCCAGTGGTTACCCAGATATATACACATTTGTCAAACTCATGAAACTCTCCACCTAAAATGGGTACATTTTATTGTATATAAATTGTACCCCTATAAAGTATATTTAAAAAAGGCATGAGGGTTAATACAAAAAGAAATCTAGAAGGATACATATCAAATTGGTAACAGTAGATATACATCTGAGAGTAGAATTCTGGAGGGAATTTCCATTTTCTAAAATTCTGTACTGCTCAAGTTTATTTATGATTAATAAATATTAGTCTTAAAATACAAATAAATCACAGTAACAACGCAAAAACTAGTCCCATTTCTTTTGCATTATAAATCATGTCCTGTCATTTTGGTATGTAGTTAGGTAATGTAATGAGGGGACAATGAGGCAAAAATAGATATATGTTCTGAAGTATTGCAGGTGTGCTGGTATTGGTATTAAACTCTTCTTTGTGAAATTCCATACTACAAAAGATAGAATTTTGAGTAACTTTCTGTACTGAATTTCAACGGTGACAAATTCTTCCTAATAATCTTGAATTTACCTTGCGAGGTCATCAGTGCTTTCACATGCCAACAAAATAGCTTCATGGGAAAGATCTGCTACTGAATAATTCAAAGTGTTTGGTAAGTGTATGGCATGGTGTATGGAGGTATCATGGAACTCCACATCTATGGCATTGTCTTGTTCATCACTATAGCAGCGAATAATTCCAGTAGAATTCCACACCTAAAACATGTAAAGGTAAATATAAGTCTGAGAAAAGTTGGAACCTCCTAGAATCAGAACACTAAATAATACAAATTAGGAAATATTACAGTTCAGTCTGTATCAAGATTTAAGTTACAGGAGCAGCCACAGCTCATCTACCTCTAAGTAGTTTCAGGTAACAGTAGTCACATTATAGCTACAGTTACTAAATATTCTTTTCTTCATGAGAAGACACATATTTATTAGCAAATGGAGTATTTCATTTAATATTTTTTTAATGACATTACTTTCATTAAAAAAATTATATAATTTTGAACAACTGAATCATTAAATTCCTCAAAAGAAACATCTAAAAATTTATTTACTTACAAACATGGATATAAATGACAACGTTTTTATGTTCTAAGTGATTTATATTATAGGAATATATACATTTTAGGGCAACATAAATTGATACTATTTGCAAAACTTATCTTCCACTCATGTACTATAGGCTCAGCCTAGGCCTTAATGTTCCCTTTTCTCTATTGCAAATATAACTATAAATAAAATAGTTGACAATAATAAAAAAATTAAGACCTATTACTTGATGATGATTACTGACAGCAATAAAAAATCCTATTAAAATAAAACATCATATATTTACATATAAATATATGCAGGCCTACACCTTTCAGAAAAGGACACCAGGCAAAGTCCTCAGAGGAAAACCTCAAATAACCAACAAATAAGAACATTAAACGTTTTTAGCTGTCAAACTTAAAAAGTCTATATATTCGTTCTCCATTTAGGAAATATATATTTAATGCCAACTGTTTCATATCTTGTTTTAAATGCTTCAGTAAACGAAATTTAAATTTTTCTATTCTTATGAAGCTGACATTCCAGTAGGGATGGAGGAAAGGTAGACAGCATTTTTTAATAGCACTTACCACCTTCTAATACAGGCATGCTTCATTTTACTGAGCTTTGCTTTTACTGTGCTTTGCATATATTGCATCTTTCACACATTGAAGGTTTGTGACAAACCTGCTTCAAGCAAATCTATCGGCACCATTTTTGCAACAGCATTTGCTCACTTCATGTCTCTGCACCACATTTTGGTAATTCTTGCAGTATTTCAAACTTTTTCCATTATTATTTTATTTCTTACTGTGATCTATGCTAAGTCATCTTTGATGTTACCATTGTAACTGACTGGGGTACCACAAACTGTGCCCATATGACAATCTTAATTGACAGTTGTTGTCTGTGTTCTGACCACTTCATTGACCAGCTGTTCCTGTCTCTCTCCCTCTCCTCAGACTTCCCTATTCCCTGATTACACTCAGCAAGGGAAAGCATGTCAAATGCCAAGTCAGGTCAAAGGCTATGTTTCTTCTACCAAACAATTAGCCAAGTTGTAAAGACAAAGGAAAAGTTCTTGAAAGGAAATTAAAAGTGCTACTCCAGTAAACACAAAAATGATAATACAGCAAAACAGCTTTACAGCTTTACTGCTAACATGGAGAAAGCTTTAGTAGTCTGTACAGATCAAATCAACCACAACATTCGCTTAAGCCAAAACCTAACCCAGAGCAAGGCCCTAACTCTCTTCAGTTCTATGAAGGCTGAGAGAGGTAAGGAAGCTGCAGAAGAAAAGTTGGAAGCCAGCAGAAGTTGGTCCATGAGGTTTAAGGAAATAAGTTGCCTCTGTAACATAAAAGTGCAAAGTGAAGGAGCAACTGCTGATGTAGAAGCTGTAGCAAGTTATCCTGAAGATCTAGCCAAGATAATTTATGAAAATTATCTTCATAACCTAAATCTAATGTAAACCAAACAGCCTTATATTGGAAGAAGATGCCATCTAGGACTTACACAGCTAGGGAGAAAAGTCAATGCCTGGTTGTCAGTCATACTGCAAAGGACAGGATGACTCTCTTGTTAGGAGCTAATGCAGCTGGTGACTTTAGGTTGAAGGCAATTCTCATTCTCAAAATCCTAGGGACCTTAAGAATTATGCTGAATCTACTCTGCCTGTGCTGTATAAATGGAACAAAGCCTGGCTGATGGCCAATCTATTTACAATATGGTTTATTGCATATTTTAAGTCCACTGTCAAGACCTACTGCTCAGAAAAGAAGATACTTTCAAAATATTACTGCTCACTGACAATGCACCTGGTCACCCAAGGGCTCTGATGGAGATGTGCAATGAGATTAATGTTGGTCTCATGCCTGCTAACAGAACATGGATCAAGGAGTCATTCTGACTTTCAAGTCATTACTTAAGAAATACATTTCATAAGGCTATCTGACATAGATAGTGATTCCTCTGATGGATAAGGGCAAAGTATACTGAAAACCTTCTGGAAAGGATTCACCATTCTAGATGCCATTAAGAATATTCACTGGAAGAGGCCAAAATATCAACATTATCAGGAGTTTAGAAGTTGATTTCAACCTTTATGGATGACTAAGGAGTTCAAGACTTCAGCAAAGGAAGCAACTAAGCAATTGCAGATGTGAAATAGCAAGAGAACTAGAATTAGAAATGGAGCTTGATGATGTGCTGAATTGCTGTTATCTGTGATAAAACTTGAACAAATGAGTTGCTTCTTACGGATAAGCAAAGAGAATGGTATCTTGACATAGACTCTAGTTCCAGTGAAGACGCTAAGAGTGTTGAAACAACAAGGATTTAGAATATTACATAAGCTTAGTTGCTAAATAAAGCAACAGCACAGTTGAGAGGACTGATTCCAATCTTGAAAGTTTACAGTGGGTAAAATGCTATCAAAGAGCATCACATGCTGTAGAGAAATCATTCGTGAAAGGAAAAGCCAACTAATGTGTCAAATTTCATTGTTGTCTTATTTTAAGAAACTGCCACAACCACCCCAACCTTGAGCAACTACAGCCTAATCAGTGAGCAGCCATGAACATCAAGGCAGAGCTCTCCACCAACAAAAAGATATGACTCACTGAAAGCTCAGATGATGGTTATCATTTTTTAGTAATAGTTTTTAATTAAGGTACATACATAGGTTTCTTTAGATGTAATGCTATTGCATACTTAATAAACTACAGTTAGTATAAACATAACTTTTATATGTAGTGGGAAACCAAAAAATTCGTTTGACTCACTTTATTGCAGTAGTCTGGAACTGAACCTGCAATATCTCCAAGGTATGCCTGTATACCATTCTAGGAGTTGCCTTCTAAAAAACTACCTAACTAGTGTTTTGAAAATAGCATAATTTCCTACATAAAAACTAATATGGGATATGAAGTTTGGAAGTATATAGCCAAGAGGTATTAGAAGATATATATCATCACATTTACTTATGTTCATCATACGTCATTTTGCAAAGCAGAATTTTATTTAACACAATTTCCAATAATAATCTTATTCTGTTGAAATAAGATTAAAACTTTCAGTTAACCATAAAATAAATCAACCACAAAATTATAATCAATCGAAATATACCAGGCTAATTAATCAAGGTTTTTAAAAGTATTTTTTATCAAACAAAATTAACTACAGTGAGATTTTTTTAAATGCTTAAAAGTGAGGTAAAGAGTAAGATAAAACTATTTGAAAGTTAAATGTAGATCTAAGACTTACCATGAATCTGTGAGTAAGATGCAGGGGTGTAGAACCTGACTGGAATGGCTTTTGCCGGGGAGTTGGCATAGGCCCATCATAAAAAGGCCTTTGGGATGTTCTAAGTGGTAGCTCGTGAACTGTGCCTGCTTGATCATCTTCCTCCACGTCTTCAAGAAAAGAAGCAACAGTTTTTAGCCCTGGAACACCTAGAAAACAAGGAATTATATGAGAATCATATATACCAATGACATGGAAAAAGCATTATGAAATCTAGTAACTTTTTCCATTCATACTTAATAATACTAATGTGCTATTTGCCTCTTTCATTGTGTTAACATATGCAGTGATGGCACAAAAGCAATGGAGGGTATAACTTTTGGTGCCTTTACATGAATTGAGGCAGTGGCACTAATCTGTATCAGTAGTCAATGCCTGGTTAACCACCATTCAGTTTTCAATGGAGTAAAAATGTTAATATTATTGAACTTTGACCTCTGCATATATATTTCTTTAAGTTCCCTGTGCTAAAATGGGAAATGTGCATAAAGAAGTGTGATGGTTGCCTTATAAAAAAAGCATTTGTTCAATTGAGTTGTAAGCAGAAATAGCTGATTTTTTTCATGGAACACCACTTTTACCTGAAATGCCAGATAAACTAAGGTTATGTAGATTTGGGTGTTTGGCAAACATTTTCTCAAAAATGAATGAGGCGAGCCAGTCATTTAAGAAAATAACTGACAGGTCTGTTATCAATGATAAAATGAGCTTTCAAGCAAATATCAGAATGGAAAACTTGTATCTGCTACCAAGAGCTTGATTGCTCCCTAATATTTAAAACTTCTGTTGAAATTGATGATAAATACAGTTCTGGATAATGTATCAATATTAGGAAAGTCTGCAAACCTCAGTGAACCACTATTTTCCAAATTATCGATGCATTATGTTACCAAATAAAACAGCTAAAAATACATTCAGAGTTCAAGTTAGACCAAGGGATTTTAATGTAATAGAGTTGAGAAGTTCACTGAAAAGTTTTCAGATTCCACATTGCAAGTAATCTTTAAGAACCTATCATTTATTGAGTTTTGGTGCAATATCAAAGAAGAATATCCATAGTTATTTCAATAGGCTATTAAAATAATTATCCATTTCCAAACCACATGTTTGTGTGGGGCTTCATTTTTTTCATATTCTTCAAACAAAAACAATATATGGCAGTAAACTAAATCCTGAAGCAGATGAGAGAATCCAACTGTCTTCCAGGCCAGGCATTAAAGAGATTTGCAAAAAGGTAAAATAATGCCACTTTTCTTACTGAATTTTTCAATTAAAATATTACTTATGTTTTCATAAATGGAATGTTATTTTAAATTGAATCAATATTTTTTTCAGTTTCTCAGTTTTAATTTCTAAATGGCAAATACGGATATAAGTCCATAAACAACTCGCTTTGGGGTCCTCAAAAAATTTTTAAGACTGTGAAAAGCTCCTGAGACCAAACATTTGAGGACTGCTATCCTATAAAACCTGTATGATTTAAATGCAGTACAACTTACCACTGTACACTGGCATTTGACTTGGTGAAGCTGAAATGTATTGTTTTAGCATTAACTTGAAGGTTTTAAATTACAATCCTGATTTCCTTAACATGCCATAGTATTCAGGTTACCTATTTCTTCGTGAGTTAGCTGGTAGCTGTGCCTTTCAAAGAATTTATCTTTTATCTAAGTTGTTGAAGTTATGGGCACAAGGTGTTCATAATATTCTTCTATTATGCTTTTTTATTAATGGCAGTGTTATCTCACAGAAAAATGTGAGTTAGATGTTATTTTATATTTTCTAGCAGATATTTTTTAAATAGCAAAAAGAAAAGGTACAGGTAATTTTAATAACATACAGTATTTAAAATATAATTTCAACATGTACTCCATGTAAAAACATGACTAAAATATTTTAGATTCTTTTTTTCATACTGTCTTCAAATCTGGTTGCATTTTACCATTACATTTCTCAATTCGAACCAGACACATTTTAAGTGATCAATAGCCATAGGTGGGTAGTGGAAAAGATATTAGCTAGTGTGGGTCTATAGGACCTATGGTGATGACCCCCTCTTTCATTACTTATGTTAGTCATTTTTGTCTTTCTTTCTTTATCAGTCAGGATAGATTTGCCAATTCTATCTGTCTTTTCAAAGAACAAAGCTTTTGATTTCACTGACTTTCTCTGTAGTTTTTTGGTTGTCAATTTCATTGAAGTCTGTTCTTTCCTATTTCCTTCCCTCTGCTTGCTTGGGGTTTAATTTCATCTTCTAGTTTGTTAAAGCAGAAGCTTAGAGCACTAATCTGAAACCTTTCTGACATAAGTATTTAATGCTATAAAATTTCCCTCTATATACTGCTTAGCTATTCCACAAATTCAATAATGACTTTAAACAATAGGGTTTTTTTGTTTAAATAATAGTTTTAATAAATAATTGTAAATATTAATCAACAGAATGGATCATCACATCCACAAAGTCAGGTCATACCAATTGGGGATTCATCTTTGTAAAGGAGGAAACTTTGCTGTCTAGGAAGACCAGAAGCCAGCATGGCATCATCAGCCACTTCCTCATGATTTAGAATCCCTTTTGAAAAAGAGGTCTCAACTGCATTTTCATTTAGAAAATCACCAGCATTACTTGTATCATCTCCATCAAAAAGTTCACTGTAATCCTTTTCGACTCTGCTAGATACCTTGAACAAATTTATACAAATTAGAAAGAGTTAGTGAACTATTTGTATAAACTCAATTTACTCAAAAGGCAATTTTTTAAATACACACATATAAACTTTACCAAGTAAACAAATGCTTTCATAAGAATAATTAGTAAATGTATTTTTGAGGATTGTATTTATATACAATCCTAGTCCTTAAAATGGCTTTTTGTCTACAGATGGTCAGGACTACAGACAGACATGTAACAAATACTATATATACCTAAATATATGGCAAGATTTTACTCCCCAAAAGTCATACTCCAAAAAGAAGTCACTTATAGGTCCTTACCTCATCTCTAATTATAAGACATTCTCTCATTTACTTTTATTTTGAACAAGATACTGTTTAGGTAAGACATGTTTACTTTAAATGATCTCAGTTAAAGCTAGTTTATTTTTCTGATGCTTACTGAAGTAAATAGAACCAAAAGAAGAACAAAGGCAGCAAAAAAAATCAACAGTAATCACTGTTGCCTACGATTATGAACATACCATCGCAGATATTGAATGTCACTGTAACAGTTTTTGTTTTTTTCTTATTAAGGTATCATTGATATGACTTTTATGAAGGATTCACATGAAAAACAATGTGGTTAATACATTCAACCATATTACTGAGTCCCCCTGCTCATACCCCATTGCAGTCACTGTCCACCAGCGTAGCAAGATGCTAGAGTCACTACTTCTCTTCTCTGTGCTACACTGTCTTCCCCAGGATTCCTCCCACACCATGTGTACTAATCATAATACCCGTCAATCCCCTTCTCCTTCCCTCCCTCACCCCATCCCATTGGTAACCGCTAGTCCCTTCTTGGAGTCTGAGTCTGTTGCTGTTGTTTCTTCAGTTTTGCCTCATTGTTACACTCCACAAATGAGGGAAATCATTTGGTATTTGTCTTTCTCTGCCTGACTTATTTCACCAAGAATAATAACCTCGAGCTCCATCCATGTGGTTGCAAATAGTAGGATCTGTTTCTTTCTTATGGCTGAATAGTATTACAATGTGTACACATACCACCTCTACTTTATCCATTCATATACTAATGGACACTTCGGTTGCTTCCATATCTTGGCTATTGTAAATAGTGCTGCGATAAACATAGGGGTGCATATGTCTTTTTGAATCTGAAAACTTGTATTCTTTGGGTAAATTCCTAGGAGTGGAATTCCTGGGTCAAATGGTATTTCTATTTTTAGTTTTTTGAGGAACCTCCATATTGCTGTCCACAATGGTTGAACTAGTTTACATTACCAGGAGCAGTGTAGGAGGATTCCCCCTTTCTCCACATCCTCACCAGCATTTGTTGTTCCTAGTCTTTTCGATGTTGGTCATCCTAATTGCTATGAGGTGATATCTCATTGTGGTTTTAATTTGCATTTCCCTGATGATTAGTGATATGGAGCATCTTTTCATGTGTCTGTTGGCTATCTGAGTTTCTTCTTTGGAGAATTGTCTCTTCATACTCTCCACCAACTTTTTAATAGGGTTATTTGCTTTGTAGGTGTTGAGGCATGTGAGTTCTTCATATATTTTGGATGTTAACCCCTTGTCAGATATGTCATTTACAAATATATTCTCCCATACTGTGGGATGCCTTTTTGTTCTGCTGATGGTGTCCTTTGTTGTACAGAAGCTTTTTAGCTTGATGTAGTCCCATTTTCCATTTTTACTTTAGTTTCCCTTGCCCGAGATGCATTCAGGAAGAAGTTGCTCATGTTTATATTCAAGAGATTTTTGCCTATGTTTTCTTCTAAGAGTGTTATGGTTTCATGACTTAAATTCAGGTCGTTGATCCGTTTCGAGTTTACTTTTGTATATGGAATTCAACAACAATCCAGTTTCATTCTCTTACATGTAGCTGTCCAGTTTTGCCAATACCTGTTGTTGAAAAGGCTGTCATTTCCCCAATGTATATCCATGGCTCCTTTATCATGTATTAATTGACCATATATGCTTGGGTTTATATCTGGGCTCTCTATTGTGTTCCACTGATCTATGGATCTGTGTCAGTACCAAATTGTCTTGATTACTGTGGATTTGTAGTAGAGTTTGAAGTCAGGGAGCATTATTCTTCCTTCTCAGGATTGCTTTTGCTCTTTGGGGTCTTTTGTGGTTCCATATGAATTTTAGAACTATTTGCTCTAGTTTGGTGGAGAATGCTGTTGGTATTTTGATAGGGATTGCACTGAATCTGTAGATTGTTTTAGGAAGGATGGCCATTTTGATAATATTAACTCTTCCTATCCATGACCATGGGATATATTTCCGTTTATTGGTATCATCTTTAATTTCTCTCATGTGTGTCTTGTAGTTTTCAGGGTATAAGTCTTTTACTTCCTTGGTGAGGTTTATTCCTATGTATTTTATTCTGTTTTATACAATTGTGAATGGAATTGTTTTCCTGATTTCTCTTTCTGCTAGTTCATCATTAGTATATAGGAATGCAACATATTTCTGTGTATTGATTTTGCATCCTGCAACTTTGGTGAATTCAGATATTAGTTCTAGTACTTTTTGGGTGTATTATTTAGGGTTTTTTATGTCCAATATCATGTCATCTGCAAAAAAAGTGATAGTTTAACTTCTTCCTTGCCAATCTGGATGCCTTTTATTTCTTTGTGTTGTCTGATTGCCATGGCTAGGACCTCCAGAACTATGCTGAATAAAAGTGGGGAGAATGGGCATCCTTGTCTTGCTCCTGTGTAACTGGTTTTTAAGATCACTTTAAAAAGTGAACAGTAAGCAGATACAATGTAGAAATCATAAGTTACTCCTACAGAATGAATAAAAACTGTACAAATGCTAAGCCAATAGAAATTTATAGTTCAGTATAAAATTCTTATGAGAACATCATTAATGGATTAAAAAGTGACTGCATCATAAAACTTTTAGATGGAAGTACTTATGATTGGGTTATAGAAATTGATGCTTAAGGAAGCGAGAGAAAAAATACTTCTAAACTCATATATTTAAACATGATTTGATATGATTAAGTAAATTAATAACTAGATGTTATAAAGATATTTCAGCTATTTCATCTATAGTCCTGAAGTCTCTGTATTCAAGTTGCTTAAAAATTTTTTTAGGGTTTTTTAATTAAAAAATGAGGGTTCTCACCTTACACTTATGATGAGGGCCATGCAGTGTTAGAGATGTTATGATAGAAATATGTACTGTAAGGAGAAACAGCAAAAAGAAAAGAATGGGCAATTCTGGATAGAAGTGATCTCCAAAATCAAAACTGTTTCTCCACTTACTTTTTATCAGTGTTACACATATACATGTTAGTCAAACTGTGGTACAAGATTTATTATAAAAATGAAAACAGGCATGCAGAGAGATTAAAGACAGTGCCATGAGAGGTGAGACAGAGGACTCCTCCCAAAAGCAGATATAATACAAAAATATAGTTAATAAAACTAATCCTGAAAGAGCAACAGGAAAGAAGGCTGCATCAGACTGCACACAGCTGGAGAAAAAAGAACACCTCACAAAACAGGGTAATGTACTGAAGCCGTGATACAGCGGGACCTAAGACCTTCCCCCACCCCAGCTCATTGACCTAAGAGAAACGGAGTGGGGAATGGGTGGGAGCCTGGGACTACTGAACATCCAGCCCTGGAGGTCTGCTCTGGGAGCACAAACCTACATTGCAGGGTACTCTGGAGATGAGTGGGATTTGAAAGCTAAGACAGGCAGAATACTTGGAGAGGCTGAGATGCCAGCCACTTGTACAAAACAGGGATCTACAACCAGCTGTTCTGGGACTAAAGAAGGCAGGCAGTCCTAGAGACTTCCTAAGAGTGAGACGGCTGCTAAAGGGGTTAGGATTGCACAGAGCTTGCTACTCAGGAGAAAGGATAGGTGGACAAAACTGTCCAGGTGTACTCTGCCCAGCAGTTTGGGAACTTACAGGCCTTCTGGCACTCCTTCCACTGGCTGGCTATACAGCTCCAAGGACACCCCTGTGATATGCAGTGTGCTGTGCCTTACTCCCGGCTGGCCAGCAGCAGCCCCTAAACTGGCAGTCCCTGCTCTGGCATCAGGCCAGCCAGAGGGAGGCCCTGCCTACAGCAGCTACAAACGAAAAGCATAGAGGCTTCCACCTGTGTGCTCGGCCTACTGGTTCTGGCAGTGGAGACAGGCACAGCAGCCAGGAAGCAGGAAACAGCTATTTCCTTGCTCCAGGCATCAGCACCACTCCCCTGCGACCTCCAACATCACTCCAGGGGCTGAACAGCTCCAGAGAGTAGAGCTTCTGGGAACTAGAGGGCACCATATACAAATATGAAATGTCAAAGGAACCTGGTTCAAACCAAAATCCTACAAAGACCAGAAAAAGGGCCAAGTGAAACTGAACTCACAAATCTTCCTGAAAGAGATTTCAAAATAAAAATCATAAACATGCACATGGAGGTACAGAAAAATATTCAAGAACTCAGGCAAGATTTCAGGATGGAGATACAATCATTAAGGAATACAATATATGAAATGACACATACAATGGAGGGATTTAAAAGCAGATTAGATGTAGTAGAAGAGATGGTAAATGGAATAGAAATTAGAGAAGAGGAATACAAGGAAGCTGAGGCACAGAGAGAAAAAAGGATCTCTAGGACTGAAAGGATACTGAGAAAACTGTGTGACCAATCCAAACAATATTTGCATTATAGGGGTACCAGAAGAGACAGAAAAAGGGATAGAAAGTGTCTTTGAGAAGGTAATTGCTGAAAACTTCCCTGATCTGCAGGAGATAATCTCTCAGGCCATGGAGGTGCAGAGACCTCTCAACACAAGGGACCCAAGGAAGACAACCCCAAGACATATAATAATTGAAATGGTAAAGATCAAGGCTAAGGACAGACTATTAAAAGCAGCCAGAGAGAGAAAAAGATCACATACAAAGGAAAACCTATCAGGCTATCAACAGACTTCTCAACAGGAACCTTATAGTATAGAAGGGAGTAGCATGATA